GTTTAAATTTTGAGCTGATGCACACACTGACCATATTTGTTGGGAATGATATAAATTGGCTCATAATGCATGATGGCTAAGCCGATGAAACTCCAATGATCTGGTTTTTGCTGATGACAATAATGATAATTCCTGTTCTTTTATTTCATGGTTGAACTGAACAGGAAATGGTCAATGCATCTGCTGCATCTTGGGGTGTAAATATAACAAGATTTGAAATGTAAGTAAATTTTGAATACCTCAAATCTCCATTCCTAACTTATCTGTGTTATATCAGCAGTATGTTATCTTTTTACCATCAGCTTTAAGTTGTTTGTTATGTATCAAATCAGAACTTTTTTATTTATGAATTGCTAAGTCTTCCTTGTAAGGGACACATCAGCAAATTCCATTTCTTTCCAGTAAACTGCAAACCAAATCTGCTTGCAGGATGATTAATAATGGTGGTTGAACTGAGTGGAGTGCAATTTGGTCTGAAATCATAGGCATGATTTAAAATATGACAAGTATGATTTCAGACCAAAACTGCACAACTTGAAGTTCAATTACTACTCTACGACATCTTTTTTGAAATTGAAAATTCAATCACTAAATAAATATACAAGATACTCTACTTTAGCCTATGCAAACATGTTTTTGATTCAGTACTGAGTTGGTTTGCAAAAAGTTGTAAAAGTTGTCTTTCATTTTCCTGCAGTTTGGTTAGTTTCTCTAAACAAGGCTTAAAATCTGATTGGTTGTTGTGTTTTAGTTAATTTCTCATGGGCTGGGAAAAAGCCAGATGTATAGTATTAAATGGTGCGATTTGTGTATAAATTGCACCAGTGAGAGCCAATCAGATTGCTAGGATGACGCGTGTTTTCAAAATGGATGCAATAAGTGCAATTAAATGATTTAGAGTGATATTAACAAAATATTAATAATAGTTGATAATCAATGTGGTAAGCTGCTGGAAGTTCCAGATCTGTAGTCGACTTTTTTATTTTCCCTTTAAGGTCAGAGGTCAGTGTGTTAAAGGAAGCAGATGAGGTTGTTGGTGCACTTTCAGCTTTATTTGGTGGAGGATCCCAGAGTATGAAGCTTAGTAATATGACTTTTGGTGATCCTGGGATGGCCAGTATGTTTTCAGGTGTGTTTTGCTAAACTGGCTCACTATCCTTTGTATGAATGATTTATGACTACAGTATTTCAGTAGCTTTTTACTAGAAATTCCTTTCTTGTCCCAGACTCATGTCAAGATTGAAAAATAGAAATAAGAAAACTCTTTTCTCTATTTCACTACCAAGCACAAAATTTGTGGTCACTCTTTCCTAATCTGTTTATTCATACAATGCTTTAGATGTTTGCTGATCCTAGCAGCATGTAGGATACATGTTGCATATAAACTTAGTCATGACCAAGCTAACCATAAAGTTCTCTGTAAGTCAGAGGAAGATCAGTGGAGCTCTGAGCCTGTAGTTCAGGGCTTGTAGTGTAATATGGCCTTTGGTCTGCTCTCCTATGTTTGTGTTAGCAGACAAGAGTTTCAGTAAAAACTGGTTATCAGCAGTCTGCAACTGCCTGTAAGACCTATCACCTCCTTCTGCAAACTGGCGCTCATGTCTGGCTTTTGCTTACAGCCCCTTTATTTGTACACAGCTGCAGATCACATCATCAGTAGCTGCTTATGGCAAAAATTGTAATGAAACC